AAAACAACGTTGAATGTGTCCAGCAGCTCTGAATAGTACTCTCCCGTGATCGTTCTGCCCTTCTCAAAGTAATCGATGTAAATGATACCGCATGCGTCCCTGAAAACTGTGGCCATAGCCTTGCTGGCTAACAGACCCACCTTGGCCTTCTTTGGAGTACGCTCACCATGTGAAACCCACTGTCTTGATTGTTCTTTGGTTTCTGGTGTATTGTGATGAATCCATGTTTCGTCTACAGTTACAAAACGGCGCAAAAATTCGTTCGGATTGCGGCTGAACATCGCCAAACATTCCCTTGAAATGGTCACACGGTTGCCCTTATGGTGGACTGTGAGCAATCGCGGCACCCGTCTCGCGGAAAGTTTTTTCATATCCAAGTATTCATGTAAAATGTGATGTACCCGCTCAGTAGAGATGCCTACAACCTCAGCTACTTAATGTATTTTTATTCTCCGATCTTCCAATATCATTCCATGGATCTTATCCACGATTTCTAAAGTGATGACCTCTTTTGGACGACCTGAACGTTCGGCATCACTTGTGCTGGTATGACCGCAACGGAACTCAATAAACCACTTCTTCACCATAGAAATAGATGGTGCAGAGTGCCCATAGTATTTGTCAAGCCTTTCCTTTGTTGCAGTGATGGTTTTTTACGCAAAAAATAATGTTTCATTAGAACACGAAATTCACTTTTCTCCATTTTTGTTAGAATTTATGAGACTGTCTACTTTCAACGGCTGTCAAACTCAATGAAATGACATAGCTTGTTCAAATTTTGACAGTTGTCATATAAAATATGGCAGTTGACGGTAGCAGTGTTGCATTCAAAGTTACTGCGCGGGAAATTCAAAAAGTCACTGACTTATCAAACGGCCCTCGTATTATGAAATAATTGTTTTTTTTTTTGTAATCCGGATTGTGTCCTACTCTGTAAATGGCTGTTGCTGTTGAGTAGTGTATAAATAAATAAAACTCCAGAAACGCAGGTAAGATTATTTTGAGGATGAAGATCAGCTTGGAAAACCACTGGACAGTATTATGTGTTTTTCAAAAGACGTTTGTTTCCTTTCCGTTCGACTGTCTCAAGGAATACTAGACCTATACCGCACCGATGAGTTGCCAATGAGCACGAAACAGCGCTGAGTGCGATTGGTCATGATTACAGGAGACGGAAAGAAAAGATTCATTTCAACATAAGATTATTTTCAAATAACTTACATACCTTCTAGGAGTCAAGTATAAGATCAAATTCATTATCTCCATCAAAGTGCAATGGAATAATAGTATATTCACAACCGGAATATCGTGTTTTTTAGAACTCTCATGAGATGTACGTTATACAAGAAAAAATTATTTCACTCATCTCCGTTGATTCCCACATTATCCCATTACTTCTCACGCCACTGGCGAGGAAGTATTGTAATCGCGAAAAGATGATATATTAGGTGTTCTTGGGGGTTATATGACGCGTAGATCACGAAAAACCATGTCACTCGTATCCGTCGGTCTGTCTGTCTGTCTGTCCGCGATTATTTGGCCTCTCTATAAGTTGGAAAGTATCACTCACAGAAGGATACTACTATGCCAAGAACGAAAAAGCTTTGTAATATTTGAAAATCGATCCAGATGCGGGGGAACTGCGGGACAAAAAACGAAAAAATAGAAGTCGCTCAAGCTTGCTTTTCTGACGTTTTAAATTTAAAGGCTCCTGATCATCAGGAAATGTTTTTTATGAGATGAAAATTGGGGTTTGGGGGTGGGGGTAATTCTACGCGCCTATTAGACGTATTTCACACATCCCAGATTTCCCCGAACATTTGCCCTTAAAATTTGATAGAGAAATATGTCTGCTTCTGCTCTCTGTGTTCACCGGCGAGCCTTCCGATCTCATTGAGTGACCTGCAATTAGAGTTGCCGAGTCTCTCTGAAGCTTCGTGCGCTCGCATATGGGGGAGGGGCAACGTTGTCAGATGGAGGGTGCTATCGGTAGGGCTGAGAGAAGATTGCTATGGACTAATTGTATAGGTCTGTTTGACTGACTTGATCCATTTAATTTCTGTTTTACATATTCATAGCTAACTTTTTTCTCAGAGGGTCTAACTTGTGCTGAACATAATCCTTTATGGCGTTGCGTGAGAGGTGCAGATTCAACCCACTTGACGTCGTTTTTTTTAATAGAAAATGTATTTCATAAGAATAGCGAATAGTATGCTTAAGCAGCTTAAAGGAGTTTGGTTTGCGCGACTAAAACCAATCCAATAAAATTTATAGCAAACATCCAAATGAACCAATTTTATTGCATTCAACAAAATGTGTAGGTATGAAATATTGCAAATGTCTAGAAATAATAACAAAAGTTGCTCCTGACAATTTTTGGGCGCAGTAAATATTTTTTAAGAATCCCAAAACTGCTTTTTTATTCGTTTTTAAACTTCCTGATCATTTTAGGGTTTAGGGCATTTAAAAAACTCGAAATCAGGCATTTCTTATGTTTCCCTTTTGTTTCTTAAGATTCTTGTATAACTCGAAGTTCAAGTAGGTTTGTATCTATGCCTGAGAACTACTGAAATAAACGTTCCTTCATGTGTTTTTCAAATTAATCAGCACTTGTGATATATTTTCCTACAAAAATATTCTAATCCTTGACCTTATCGCAGAGTGTATCGCCGTAGTCATTTTTTGGAGCTTTACATTGCAGGAAGACAGGTGTACATACCACGTCGGATCTTTAGCGCATTTGTCATGGCGTGGAGAAATGTAAACAAAACCCTCAAAGGGCAGTATATCAACCAGATGCATTTCCTGTGTAGTCTGGGGCTGCCGTATATTCTACCTTTTCATATACTTACGGGTATATCCCTAAAGCCATATAAATTATACCAAAAAAAAGATGTAGATTAAACTAGTACAAATGTTTAACCCACTCAAAGTTTCAATTACGATCTAAAGGGAGAATAAGGCTGAAAGACGTCAAAAAATGTTCAGGATGTTGAACCCTCCAAAAAAAATGTTTTAACCAAAAAAAGATACTGAATTTGACCACCGGAAAATTAAGGAAAACTCCTTTAGTGATTGATCATGTGGTGTTGATCAAATGTTCCTATGGGTGCAAAGCCCGGAATTGCTTACTATTGGAGATACAGGATGCCTAAGGCTTAGTGCCTTCGCGTCTGTGGGTACGCCTGCCTGCACTATTTTACGAAAACTATCTTGTCTTTAATATACTCAAGGTACTTAACGATATAATAATCAAATCCAAGCGAATAACCAAAGTTTCTGTGATGTATCGCAGTTATAATATGGTTTAAGATGATACACGGGTTGATGACGTCAGCTACTCTAATCGCTAACCGTGGTTTTTGGAAGTTGTTTACTTTAGAAAAGTGCATATATAATTTCTGATTATTTTCATTATTACTTAATAATCGGTGCTTTTTTGTCTGCAACAGTGTATAGAAAGTTTAAAAAAGAAACCTTTCATAATATTGATGGGAGAAATGTTTTTTTTTTCAGAAAATAATCTTTAATGATGGATCCATTTCTTTCAACTTTCAATTCTCTAAACTTTTCCTCATGTCAAAGGAAACATTTATTAATTTAGCAGAAATGATAGGAAAAAGCGATGAAAAAAATGTATTACAAAACCATATACGAGTGGACACCATCCAGCAAGTTTATATGGCCATATTTTGATATTCTTGTGGTATATGGGGCTACACAGCATACTTTGTTAAGCTTAGAAACTAGATTTAAAGTGTCCTCAACAACAGTAATGATTATAAGTAATAAGGTGTTCTACTTTATGCTAAGACTGAAGTCAGCCTGTATCAAGTTCTGCAAAAATGAACCTGAAGTACAATAAAAATAACCAATACCCGGCAAAATTTTAACTTGTCACATTTCAAATAATAACCAGAAATGTAAAACTACTCCTGAGTTGGGGAAATACCACAACTTTGCGGTGATAACTATGACATATAACAGCTGATTCATATAACCAAACTGATAACCACACTCGTTTGAACGAATCGGTAAATACGAATCCAAAATGGTAAATACCATTTTCATTTGGTTATTCGCTTGAATTTGACTAATGAAAATACACTTCCAATATATTCAGGGTGTCCCAGGAAAATTGGAAATTTGTTTGATAGAAAAATTATATAAGAGATTCAAAACTATCTTGCGCAACAATATTGACATTCTATAGGCGTGTGTCTCTAAATTACTTGGAAATATACAGAGTGTTGAACAATGTTGTGGCACAACAAACCTGCTTTTTAAAGGTACGCCCTATATTACGAGTATATAAGAAGGTATATTATATGTAGAATTTTGATCCTCATTTGTTTAGTTATGCTTCCATTTGTCTGAAGAAATCCCTATCCATGAGGGCTTTTACTTCTGCCATTTTGCGTAGCTTTTCACTGTTTTTTAGGAAGATAATGAAAAGATACGCAAAGTCTATCAGCAGGCTGCTTAATGCAAAGTTCCTTCTGATATCAAGATTCAATACCCACCCATGAGATGTTAAAGATGAGTTAACGTCGTAAAATGGTGCATGTAGGCTTACTACAGGGGCTGAGGCATCGAACTTTAACACCCAACATTGAGACATTTGATCAGCACACCATGAACAAAGTTTCATTAAAATTAACCGGAGGTCAAATGCCTCTGCCTTGAGTCTGGTACTTTATCTAATTGCAGCTAGGAATGATCAATCATCATCATTCAACGAAAACGAAAACATTATCCATTTCTCATGAGTTTGGTTTTATTGGCACATCGATTTTCTAAATTTTATTTTTTCAACGTATTGGATATCGCACTCAGAGTTAGTATTTATCAAAAACCATTCGCAAATGACAGCATTGCAGTTCTAGAGCGACGAAGTAGCAAAATCTGTCACAGTTGCTGTCAATTAGCCAACAAAGTCCTGCACATTCTGCACCCATTCTTCCTAAGAAGTAGCGATACAACGTCCGCCATTTTGTTCTTCAGATTCCGTCCAACCGCGGTTCTCGGTAGTACCATTTGTATACGGCACGCATGCATAGATGTATCTGGGGCCTGTCTGAATCGCAGTAGGCATCGGGATGATTGACAGGACAATCGACGAGCAACGAATAAGAAGCAATAACTCTGGTGAGTGGCTGCTGCACGTACGGCCACAACCCAGCAGTACTGGTCGGTCGTACCGCCGATTGTTCTCCGGGGATTTTTGTTGTCGGCCCCCCCGTCGAGTATGGAACACAGTCTGTCCACATAGACGTAGAGGAAAGAGTTCCGGCGGCAGAAAGGGGTTACCTAGAAAGTTTTGGAAACTATAGTGTATTTACACCCAAGATAGAATGGATGCGTGATTGCCAAAAGCAAGGACAGCATACAGGGCCGCATTCAGGGCTACCTCCGAATGATGGACTACCACCAACGTGTTGTAAAACAAAGATGACAGTATTTAACAGAAACAGATACTTAACAAATTACTCAAATACACTTAACAACAACAACAGCAACAACCAAGCAAAGTGAATACGAAAACACGAGCACGCAGTGATACACGCGACGGACGGTGGCCTGAATGCAACTCTGCCTGCCCTCCCCTTGCCCCGCTCATTATTCCGCCAGGCGACCGCTTGAAATTTAATGGCGAATTGACCAATAAGAGGCGTTGTCCCCACCTGTTACCGAGAGATCACGCGCTAACTGTTATTATTTACATCTCATCTTGAATTTGGATTCAGTTTAGTCTTTAATACACATATAGACTTAGATAAAAGGGCTTCGATGATAAAAAAAAAGTTATAGAAAGTTTTGAAGGGGTCTTGGAAATCAGTATCTCTATAGATTCCGATGTACTCTTTCCAAAATTTTAATTGGCTACCTCCAATCTATGTAGCGCACTATTAATCTACTAAACTATACACAACATGTCACTAAAAAACTTGTAAAAATATAAAATATAAAAAACTGTTTTTCCCACAAGGACGGTGCAACAGTTTTTGAAATAATTTTTTTCTCGGATTAATAGCAAGTGTGGACCACCCTGTACACGTGATATAATTACAAAGTTTGTGACCCGGCGCGGGTTCTTCGATGTCATTTTTCTCGGAAACTAGAAAGTGGATTCGTTAATCTTGAGGAACAGAATTTGCTATTCACTAAATGACAGAAATTATTGGGTTATTGCCAAAACGGACATGCTAAATCTGCAGATGCTGCAGAGCAGGTCGTTGCGCATTATTACTGATGCCCCAAGGTACGTCTCTAACGAAACACTTCACATAGACCTCGATGACCCTCAAGCAAGAGAATGCTTTGAACAACATGCGCAGCGACACTACTGCCAAAAATCATCGCGTACCAACCTTCTGTTGCGGGAATCAGTGGACTACACAGTCAAACAAGTTCGAAGGCACAGAAGGTCGCGACCCGCACAAAATAAAATCGTGAGTTTAGAACAATCAGATTTTGGCACAAGCTTTACAAAAGCTAAATATTTGTGGACCATTTCAAAATTTTTCAAGTGATTCTAACTGTGACTAAGCGCTCCCTGTCCTAAAAGAGTATCTTCTTCCAGTTTGCTCTTTCCCTTCCTCTAATCTTTTTCTTCCTTTTTTTCCTTAACATTATTTGGTTTCTGGCCTACCCGACCTGACAGACTTACAAACTGACACTATGACACAAGAGCTAAGGTCCCACGGACCGCTCTGATAATCTACGATGACTTGAGAAAATATTGGAGAAACTAGATATGAAACATAGACAAGACTGTCATTTCTGGTCAAAATTATCCCACATTATTCACTAATTAGGTCAGAAAATCTGAGTTCCATCAATATCTTCCAACAGTTAAAGAATCTATCTATATGATGAGATAACGAGAGTACATATAATTTATTAAAGACCGTTGAAATTTGAAATATAGTATCACAGAAAGATACAAATACTAAATCTGAAATACAAGCAGCAAGAAAAGGTAAAATACGAAGAAAATGAAATATAATGATAGTTCAATCTGGCAAAATACCCTACGCTGATCTATATATATCTATACTCTTTGAGTTGCCGAGTTGCACAAAGTATATGACATAGTGAGGCAGGCAGGTAGAGCAGCTTTAAGAATGGTGAGAGTCTGTGTTTTGTTAGACATTTTTGAAATTGGTGAAAGTGTTATGCGCCCCTGTCAGGCTTATTGACGGAATGAGACTGTTTCAATATCTATATAATATATTTTCTGTTACTAGGTAATAAAAGTGATATAATAAGTTAATTCAATAAGACTATCTCAAAACAGATGTGAAAAGAGTGCAAGTGCAATGAGGTGCAGTCTTTGCGGTTGCGTGATGCGAACACGTCTTTAATTCTTTGAAGGCTTGGTGCAGTCAGGGTAAGGGTAGATTTATGCCCCCTTGAATGCCTGTAGATCATCTACAGACATCCCATAATCGTTCTATCGTTATCGGTAGTTCTGTGCTAGATCTGTGCTTCTGCTTTTTACTTCTTCATCATTCATCGTTTCTAATTGAAAGATTGCATACAGCTAATTTTGTCAATTGGGGAAAAATAGAAATAAATCATTCATCCATAAAATTGACTTAGGACTCCATTTTTGTTAAAAACATTTGAACTTTTTGCACCTAGATTGCATAATATTTTAATCACAACGGTGTGCTTCCGAGCTTTCTGAACTGTCAATACACATAGTACTACGTAGTTCGATAAGTCACGCAGCAGAGAGTCATTGTGGGATTTCACTTATCTATAAGCTCACTGCGTCTTTTGTTTAATATAGTCCTTTATGTAAAGGGTGTCAAGGTCTATGAAGGGTCTTAGGGAAGACATGCATGGATCACCAGAGATTGTGCACGCAAGGTTCTGCTTATTTGCTCTACAGAAGGGCTATTAATAATGATGATGATCTTCATTGTTTATAATGATTATATTATAAAAGGCAGAAATTCAGCTCATGTCACTTAACCCAAATATCAAAAAATAGTATAACACTGAACAAAATTATGTGAATCTATTTAAATTTGATATTAAATCGTCAAGCACATACACACAAAAAATACGCTTATTTATGCAGGAGGTGATCTTCCAATGATATTTAAACCTTTAAAGATAATGGTTGTAGGTTTACCAATTGTACAGAGAAACTTCGTCAAATGTGAAATATCGGTTAAATAAAGCTGATTTGTGGTGTGCCATGATGAGTAGATGCGGAGATCTGATGACTCTATTGGATTAAATTATATTTAAGCAGAGTATAATTTTATTTCTCAAATATAATTTTATGTAAAAGAGTGACTAAAGGGTATCGGAAAAGCCCAGTGATGTTTAACCATCCCATCTTCAATGCTCCTTGAAGTATGGTCTCATATCTTTTTTAAATTATTCATTAAACGGCAACATTTGTGTTTTTGTAGTCGTTTTGCTATGGTCTCATCTAAACATGGAGAATAAAGGGTAACACGATACAGAATTTCGGATCTAACTAGCTTTCGCATGACGCTTTTTGATAGATTTAGTCATAATGTCTTTGTTTGCATATATATAAGCTGTAATGATAGCGGTTCCTAGGAATTTGACTGACGTGTTCAGGAAACCTTAGGCCCGTATCGTCAGTCGTCCCTACAATTGTAGGGCGCGTTTATGGCCTCCTTGATTGTCATACTCCTTTCCCTCCTTCAAAAATTTCTAGATTACACTTGTCCCGTGTCAGCATCAGCGCTCTCCTATTGTGAAGATATGTGTTCTTTTTAAATTGTAGGAAATTTCAGGCCGATAAAACATGATATAACTCAAAAGCAAGCACAATTTGATGCAAATAGATGTTTGTTACATAACCTCAAAATAGAGTTCTGATACGGAGAAGTAGAAAACTATGACAATCAAGGAGGCCATAAAGGCGCCCTACAATTGTAGGGACGACTACGATACGGCCCTTAGTCTTCCATCAAAAATTACTTCAATCACTAAACTTGTATGATTTCAGGAGTGTTAGAGAATTCAAGAAACCTGTTTGTATCCACTAGAAGGAAGGGTGTCACAGTGTGCTCCAACCTAGTTGCCGTGAGCTGCCAGGGTTCAAATCCCGTCCCAATTATTTTCTTAGCTATGAATATTGTGATTATCTGTATGTGGTGGGGGATTCCAAACCGTCGCACGTGGAGGTACTACCCGGCGGATCTCTAGGGTACCCATGGGTATTTAGGACTTAGGCCTGCGTGGTGGCTGAAGTAGAACCAAAAAAGATTACTTCAAGTACCTAGGCACGATGGAAAAAGTATGCTTAGCTATAACGGGTATGTTTCGTGTTGTCGTTTCAAAATTCATCGTAAGTATCTTATCAATTTTAAGTTTGCCAGTTGAACCTTGAAAAGAAAAAATCCCAGCAACGCTGACCAGCAATCTTTCTGCTTGAGAGAAAAATTTCCCCAAGCCTTCTCGAGATTAACCGTACAATCAATTATTCTTACACCGCAACTACACCCGGGTCGACGTGTTCACTTGTTTTTCCGCCCTTTGATTGAGTCAAGCCTTTTCCAGGGTGGAGATGAACGGATTTGTGGCGAGAAGGGTTTTATATCACGTCTGAACTAGAGGGCTCTCATGGTTAATGTGATTCTGTGCGCCTATAAGGGTTGCCTATCCAATAAAAGATTGCAGGGTCCATTCGAAGAACTGTGCTACCAACAAACTCATATCTTTGGAGAGGACCAACAGAAATACATATCTAGGGCACAACTTCAAGGGATTACAGAGTAGATATGTAATACTATAGGATCCTTAAAACATATATGAATTTTTGTTGGCAGAATTACTCGTTTGGGTTCTGCGATCTTTTTTCAGTTTTGTGTAGTCAACCCTTATAGATACAGAGTCAACCTGAAGTCTCCTGATTTTTTGCAGAGCTTCACCCTAGATATGTACTACTACGGGATTTCTATAAAATATGTGAGTTTGTTGATGGCACTATTCTTCACTTAGGTTCTGTGTATATTTCATATAATTGAAGGATGAAACACATCTAAAATATAATGCAGTAATAAAAAAATGCTAATTATGCATAATTATATATTTTTCAACAATTTATGGACCTAATACAGCGTATTATTTATCTTTTGACGTTGCAAACGATTACTTGAATGCAAATAGGTTTGAAACAAAGGTTGTAGAGAATCTTATACTCTACTATATCGAGATTTTTCGACCTGGTGACTGAGACTTTTGAGAGCAGTTTTAGAATGACAAAATAAAGGTAATACGGGTTTACAGCTTACTATCTTTCATTCCGAGGTCAAACCCCTATTATGATTGGAATACTTAGCATTATTTCCACTCTACGAGTTGATAACATAAAACTGTATAAATGCTCTCAGATAAGTACGAAAAAGCTAGTTGCAGTTTAGGCGTATAATTACATTCATTTAAATACTATTAGTAACCCGCCGCTCCGAAATTTTTGAGCAAAATAAAACTAAAATGTATATCTCGAAACGTTATTTAATAGGTAAAAAGGTATAAAAATTGTTTACGTTATGCTGACCATTTATGATTTCGAGGAAGTCGGACTCACCACCCTTATGTGCTTTTGCCCTGTTTCTAAAAAAGTGTTCGTCTGAAGATCTCGTCGCTAAGTAATTAAAAGCTATTTATTTGTTTATATACTCTATCTCTAGTAGCTTAAGAATAAAGTCTTAATTGATGATTGGCGATTCTTATTTGGGGTCCGGCTTTAGAAAATTACTTTCATCAATAACTGTTTTCGACTATGATTTATGAATGTGTAAAGTAATGCTTAACTGTAATTACGTTCATAAAACATACTTTTAGCTGTGTTTCGTATATCTATTCAAACCAATAACAAGTCGGAGGTCCACTTCTCTATTTCTTCTTTCAAAAATACGGGCTGTTTCAGAACCATGGGATCAAACTTGTAGGGGTTATTCAGTGTAACAGTAGAAAAGATTTGAGCATATATCCGGAAACGTGTCACGACGGCACTACGGCCCTAAGACGCGTTAAAATTTATAAAGACGATGAATAGCCTAAATTTTTGCCTTTTGTACATGATATCATGACAACAATTGTTCAAAATGTCGTCCTCCAACCCGAATACACCGATTTAAACGTCGCACATGATTTCGGCGGACTTGACTAAAAATTTGATACTCGTTTTGAATGATTTCAAATGCTGCTGTAATTCGTCCAATTAGGTCTTGCTCTGTTTCTACTGGAGTTTCGTAAACCAAAGACTTTACATGTCCCAACAGGAACGGTGTATTCAGGTTGGGGGAAGACATATTGAACAATTGTTGTGATGATATCATATAACAAAAGGCAAAAATTAAATGGATTAAATCCTATTTAGGCAATTCATCGTCTTTCTAAATTTTAACGCCTCTTAGGGGGTCCCTATACTCAAAAATGTTATTGTGGAATAATCGTTTAAGCAATTTAAGCTGGTATCTTTATTATTTAGATATTGTGCAGTGTATGCAAGTCAGTGCTGCCAGTAGAGCCTCAATTTTCACTGTTGATACTTGTAATAGAGGAATCAGTCATCTAATAACATGAAATAAGATTTGACTTATGACTTCATCTTTATATGACTTCCATATTGTCTAAGGCCTCCGATTTTTGCTTATCAGATCGATTAATTTTCTGTTTCAGTCAGGATAAGTTCCTTTTCATATTCTTTTGACCCTAGACAAATGCTTCAAGGACGCGTTGTGTGAAGAAATGCATATGTAACTAATACTAGAAGTACTTTGGCAAACATATTTACCAAATACCTACTAAGATATCAAACAAAGGGTATTTTAATAAGAGATACATAAACAATTTTAAAAAAGTATCTTAGATACAACATGAATACCTATACGTATTTTGTGTCTGTATTTCAGATACCTGCTTGTATCTTAAATAAGTAACATCTCTGCTAACTAAATTATTTAAATCTGCCACATCATTGATCAATGTATTTACCTGGCAAGAATCCGTAAATCAATGGTTACGGGTTACCCCTGGCCTAGAGCTAGGTATTCACGGGTAACCCTATTTTCCTTGAAGATGGCCAAGAAAATAAGGTAAGTCAAACCCTAAACTTTTCAAAGGCCCTTCAATGTTATTCCACACTGAACCGTGCCCAGGGCCCTGGCTTAACAAAGACCCCCAAATGTTCAAAAATCAACTAAAAGATCTGAGATCTGACACCATAAATCCATTTTTATATAACTTTATTCATAATTTTCCTATTTTTTTAAATATAATAAGTGGCGCCAGCTCATGACTTATGAACTTATGACTAGTAGGTGTGCAATCATTTATCATTTAGGAATCTGTGAATACTTTGTTTTCTGCTCTCGGTTATTGTGGTTATAATATTTGTCACTAGATGTCACTAAGCGCTACCGCAACCTTGCCATCTCTGATTTATTGCTCAAACATAAAACAGGTAGCAGTATAGTCAGCTGATAAATTCTACACTTACCTACGTCTTGCTTTGACGTACCAGATGTCCCTAGCCTAAGAAACATTACATGCCAAATTCAATGAATCTGATACCAAAATGTTATTCGTTTATTACTTTTCAAGTAAAAACATAGGAACACCCAGCAACTACCTGAACCAATACATAGTATGCTAAAATTACTTTCAATCAAGTGGTGGCGCCATCTAGTAAGTAGGAAGGAGACAACGATTAGTGTCAAGAGATCATGGAACAAAATTTAGTACATATCAAAACTGTTAACTGTGACTCCTTGTCAGCCTATCTCACTTTATCAGCTGTTTGTCAAAGTCAGTTTTTGTACTCGGCGAACTTGTTATCAGTCGCAATCTGATAAGAAAAAATTTCAATTTATGTGTCTTGTTGCAAGTGTTCTGACTTTTACCAAACTTGTGTCACAACTAGGCTCCTTAATTTATCAAATTCCTGTGTTGATTTTCTCCAGAACTTCTTACATGATTGTTTCCCAACTATGAACGAGTGAAAGTACGACAAAATGTTTGTGAAACCTCAAGAGGTTCTGATAGCGAACGCTTTCTGGTAAATAATAAAATATTTTACTCACAAAAATGCATGTTGTCTGATGTCTGAAATTCAAGTTTCAAAAATTACTCACTGTCATTAACATATTTCTTTTTAACTAAAGATAATGAAATAAACAGAATAAAAACTGGGATATTCAAGAGTCAGTGGGTTGATGAACAACTCAAACAACTAAAAGATATAACCTACATTCTATACAACAAGAAAGTTATAATATAAATCATAATATAAAATCCAAGCACAGTTTTTGATTGACACAAAGCCTATATTGCAAAATGACGACCTTTGAGGAAAGAGTTCATCTACATTATGAATGTAATATATTTTTAATGCTGCAAATGCATGACATATGTAAATAGCAATTGCAACATATTTATCTAGCATATCCTGCTATTAACTTTTCCTTCATTTACATTGGAATTGATTACTTGTTTATCACCAATGCCCTCTTATAGTTTTTTAATTATTTATTAATTTATTCAAAACTCCTCTCAGCTGACTGCAGTAAAATACGTAGTCGTGCCATAAGTTCTGTCCCATGATAATCTCATGATAAAAATGAAACAAGATAAGATATATTTATATGAAAGATATTATTTATTCGACAACATTTTTAGAATTCATAATCAAACAGTTTTATTCAAAATGTCCCCCCTTGGCCTTCACACACTGCTTCAATCTCGCGGGCCACTCATCTATCACTGCACGCACAGCTTCCAAAGGAATAGCTGCCGCTGATCGGATCAAATCCGCTTTCAGGGACTCGATATTACGGTGGGCTTTGGAGCAGGCCAACTGCTCTAGCAGGTCCCACAACTTGTAGTCTAAAGGATTGAGGTCCGGACTCCCTGAGGGCCAATCTTCCGCAGCAATGGACTCTGGCACATTGCTTTCCAGCCAGCGCTGCGTACTCTTAGCCTTGTGAGCGGGGGCGGAATCCTGCTGGTAGACCCAGTGTTGGTTGGCAAACAATGTACCACTTAAAGGCTTGACGATAGGATCCAGTATGTCGCTCTGATAGTTTGCCGCTTTTGTTTTCACGCCCTGTTTACAGAAATGGAGCTGAGTGACCCCTTCGTAGGACACCCCCCACCAAACCATGACTGACGCAGGGTGGTGGCCTCTCTCAACTCTCGGAATGATCTCCGAAGCTTCCTGTGAACTCCTTGCATACACTTTGTCATTTTGTCGGTTGAATTTTTCTTCTATGGTGAAGATTTTCAAATCCGTGAACAAAATCTTTCGGAATCCCCCAGCTGCGTACCTCTCCAAGAGCTTCTTGGATCTTGTCGCCCTGATGTATCGCAAGGTGGCCGTAAGTCGCTGGCCCGTACGTCTCCGGTAAGCCCCTAGCCCTAGGTCTTGTTTAATGATGCGCGACATCGTCCGGACAGGAATCTTCATTTCCCTGGATAGGATCTTCTGCTTCCGGAGTGGATTCCTTTGAATCCTGGCTTTTACGGCTTTGATGGCTGCTGGAGTCCTTACTTGACGAGGTCTTCCGCTTCTTGGCCTGTCATCAACAGAGGACGTCTCATTGTACCGCTGAATGGTCCTAGACACAAATTTACGCGATATTTGAAGGCCGCGTAAGAGTTCAAAAATCTGCACTGTGATTACACTTATGTAAAGCTATCACTGCAATACGGTTCTCTGCCTTGCCCCACTCCATCGTTATGCTTCGAGAGATCAATACAAACTGAGGTATATGTAATTACCCGAAAAGCGCTTAATCAACTGACACCACAATGTAAACAATCGGACAAGTATTAACAGGTCTACACTTGTTTGAAAACGAGGGACAGAACTTATGGCATGACTACGTATATTTAGTTGAAACTTCCATCTGTCAGTTCATCATGTAGACAACCAAGCTATCACATATCTTAATACCTACTCATTTGTCAGGGAGACTGAGAAGTCCTCTATATACTTTGTACTGCAACATAGAAAGGGTCATGGCACAGTCAAGAGCATCTCATCACTTATTGTGGGCACAATGGACAGTATCTTTGATACAAAGCCTGCCCCATTCAGGATTTTACATCAAACTCCATCTTCAGAAGTGTATCACAGTAAGTGAAAAATATTTATAATGTATCCATAAAATGAGTAATTAGTAAGGAAGTTTGTATATTTAAAATTCAACTATATGAAACTTTATTTCAGGATATACAACTGTATGTGTATATTACTTTAATTGGTGTAATAAAATACTTATCTTTCTTAATTTCAAAAATAGAGAAAATAACCTGTAATATACTACACATACCTCACAATACAATGACATCTTTTATACTTTACTTGAACTTGATAGAGGCAATGTATGCTTCTAATGATTGTCTAACATTAAAGCTGCTGAACAAGTTCTCAGAGATGCTGTTAGACACTGTTATATGAGAATGTTCTGCTGAAACTGGGCTAAATACATACAATATTTGGGGTATTCCATATACAATTTACCCTACAAAATACTTGTGTATAATATGGTTTTTAACATAGTTTCTTCCATTCTTCTGGACAGTTCAATTTGGTTTTATGCACTGCAACAACATTAAGTTTTCTGCTGTACCTCAACATACCTTATTACTTATTTTTCACTTCAAGCACTTTTCTTAGCAAATTTATCTATCCCTAAAAAAGATCAGCAGTTTCCTGCTTCAGAACTCTGATACTTTTATAAGGAATACAAAATAAAATCTGAAAAATACATTTTTTCCCTAGTGGTGGCCTGTGCTATGACACGAAAGGAAATACTTGAAGATTGGGATTGGTTGTTCAATAATGTGTGTGAGACACTCCACTCATTTGACAGTGAAGATGACATCACAGACTTTGTGATGTGCAAAATAGAATCTGTGATTGCTACCAGACATGAAAATGATGTTGATGGTAAAGTTACTTGTAACATTTTTTTAAATTTGTGAATATCTGGAGTTGAAAATATTTATATGAACATTTAATAATTATAAACATGATCATTCTAGTGAGTATCACTATTGAACATCCCAGAAAGTGACTATAAAATTTATCTAAATTACTAAGATTTAACAGTCCTTAATATTTCTTCTATATAATCCACTGATGTTTGTGTTATGATTCTATTTTATCAAGATAGGCTTAGTAGGCAGTTGGCTGTGGAAAAATATTTCATTTATAGTTTGTGAATACATTTATTGCAAATGATAAAACCGAATATTTTGCCTTCTACACAAGCTCAAAAGTGTTGTAATTTCCTTATCTCAACAGATTGAATAATATAGAACCATGCATGAAGTCAATGTTTTTTCAATATACAAATTTTTCCATTTTGCTTTTATCATTCAAAACAATACAGGACTTCAATTAGTTATATTAATTGTTATGCTTTTTTTGGTATGCCGTACACTAATAAAATTAATCACAAAATTTTCATACCTTAATTGAATTGTTGATACTAAAAATCGTCCAGCATCAGCAACTAAACATTTGAATTGTGTCGATCTATCAGTTAAAGCAAAACTTCTTAGTTTTGAGCTTATGCCCTTAAGAAAGTGTTATTACCCGCTTGTCAAGAATTTGTGACTGCCACATATACCTTTGTCAAAAAGGCACATAGTGACTGTAGAAATATTTCTAATTTCTCTCTTTAATTCATTATTAAATGGAAGAATTTGCAATCATAAATACCGCATATGTAAACATTAACATTCATTTATTTTGAAATATAAATCAATGATCTATACCCTATTTCACGAGTATCCATTACGCTTTGACATCTGCTGAAGTGAACAGCTCATCAGCAAGTGACATTTTTGAGTTAGTCTTAATCTAATGAAACTTGTTTGTCGCGTGTTATTTTTTGTATGCAAATGAACTTTTCAAAATAAAAGAGCTGTTAGCAAGTCCAAAACGAATCTGTAGCATTCAAAAAACCAAAACAAAATACAGCTCTGACTACCTGACGTTGACTGATCCGTCAGAATTATGTCTCCTGTGCTGTTATGGGGAATTTTGAGATATCACTAGATAATCAGCTGTCATTCTGCCGTGATCGATACTCGTGAAATAGTGTATATATGATTTGAATACACGTAATAGAAATGAGGATAACACTCAAGTTTGTGTATGTGATATTTGTGGTTGCCAACACTCTCTACTAAGAAATTATTCTATTATTATATTCCTTTTTATTTAGATGAAGACACGGCATCCTTCAAGGTTACAACAGACAAATTTCTGAGGCTGTTCAATTTGCCCAAAGATGAAAAGCTTGTAAATTATTACTCTTGTAGGTAAGTATCAGCGATACAGTCTGCATTTAGCTTGTCAATAATTGAAGTAACGTCTTAAGTTATAGCTCAATATAATTAAGTTTTTATTTCTATTTATTTTTCTTATAGAGTAACACGTTTTTGAAAAATAAAGCTAATGCATATTAAGTTGATGCATGATATTTTTAAAAACCCATTTTTAAATTTCACGATTATAGAATTATTGATAAAGAGGGTATCCCAGGAAAACTAAAGTGTTATTATACTCTGTTAACACCTTATAGGTAAACATGTTTTTTATTTGTTTAAGCAATAATATCTTGCTGTAAATTCAGCTTATTAATTTTGTTACGCCATATTTATTGAAGCAAGATTAAATAATGGGATGATTTTAATCTGGTGTTAACTATATCTTATATAAACATACCTGTGGTGTGTAAAAGATATGACAAGTGGCTTTACCCATACACAGTTTGTAGAGGGTACCTTATTGCTATATTGCAAAGTTATAATTTCTTTTGTGTATGTGGGCATCTTTGATTACTACTGTTCTATGGTAGCTAAATTATTGAGTTTCTTGTTGGTTCACAGTAAAACTGTAGGAATTACTTTCATGCATTGATTGTTTGTGTAAGCTCTCTGACATACGTTTTTTACGTTTGTCTCACCGCCTTCAATGTATGAGCCTTCCAGTGTCAGAATGACAATTTGCTTGGCATGGGCGTACGATTCGAAATTACATTTTGTTGATTTCGACATAAAACATATCAATGCCTGAAGATATAACTATAATGTCGACAGTCTTGCGTTAAATTTATTTAAGTATTTTCGGGAAGTGAACGCAAACGATGGCCTTGTATCACCCAATTAATGTGTGTGTGCAAGAGATAGTAGCAGCTGTGTCAAGGATCAGCTTGCGCATTGTACAATGTCGTTTAAGAAGTTATTCTCCGCACATGGTACGTGGTTAGTCAATCTGTATATTTCGCATGACTTGGTGTAAGTGCCAAAAACCGGGAAGAGAACTTTATCTTCATTTACAGCTTACAGTGGAGAAACAATAGGAAAAAAATCTGATGTAGTACACAGAGAGTCATTTCTTGGAAATTATCTGTTTTTCATAATTTTAATTGGACAGTGTGTTAGACATTCATTTTTCATCTGTTTTGTCAACGCTGATGCTCCATAATGCATGTGCATTGATATCTGGTGCTCAATTATTTTTGCATTTCAGATAAACGGTAATTAATCGTAGTAATTGAACATTTGCCCTTGAGATTATAGCTAGCTGATAATTGAAACCTGTTTTATATTTTCAATTTCATAGATATTGAGGGCGGGTGCATATACAGGGGGACTTGAAAAATATTAACTTTATTTCTAGGGAAGCATGCACAACAAAAAAGGCATACGTTGAAGCGTAGGGTGACGAATTCCGTGACGAAATTCATATCGAACTAAGCACTGTTTACATCAAAACCGATTTTGACTTGTATTGCGCTTGCGTTCCACCCGAAAGCAATTAGCAGCCTTGTTTTGAGATTGTGGGTGAAGTCACTGATCAGGACTATTTTGGTTTTCTGTCCCCGATTTTAGAAATAAAATCTATCCAGATCGATCAACCAATATGAATATTCAAAATTGTTTATTGACAATAAGACTCCAAACACAAAACAATAGCACCTGTATACACTTGGTAATTTTTGCGATTTCTTAAAAGTAACACCAGCACTTTCATTGATTTCCATTATTCTCTATCTTATAGCTACTGG